CAATGTAGTGTAACCAGTTTCTAATATTGTTATTAGTCAGAATTTGAATTTCGGTTTACAAAACTTTCAAAAATAAAGATGGCAGTAAAGCACCTAGAAAAACTTTCGACAGATTACCTTGAACTTCTTGACGATAAAGAAGATTTTAATGTTATCATTAATGCCGGAGAATCACAAAATTCAAAGATATTCCGGGCACATTCCAATATTTTAAGATATAGATCATTGTATTTTCGTGATAAATTGGCAAAAATTAACAAAGATGCAGACAATATCAAAACAATTAATTTAGAGCATGTTACTATTCAACAATTTGAAATTATTATTAAGTAAGTTACTACCTTATATCTGTATATATGTATATGTTTTAATAATATATGAGAAACGAAACTGATCTTAAAATCTAAATTCTGTATACGAATATAATAAAGATATATTTACGGAGGGGTGGTTTTATTGGAAAATCAAGAAGCATCATTCATTTATGAACTCATGATTATTGCTTCAGAGTTTCTTTTAGAAGAATTAGTTAAACATTTTGAAAATGATTTAATTGAAACAAAAGCTAATTGGCTTCGTTTACATTTTACACGCATTTATCAAAAATGTTTCCAAGATAATCAATTTCAAAATTTACAAAAATGGTGTAATGATTTTTTAGTAAAGTATCCAAATAAGATTTTTGACTCGGAAGATTTCACAACACTTCAAGAAAATGCGTTAGTCTCTCTTATTAAACGGGATGATTTACAAATGGAAGAAGTAAAGATTTGGAATTATATCATTAAATGGGGGATCGCACAAAATCCAGATTTATTATCCGGTGAACCAGAAAATTGGACTAGTGAAAAGTTTCTAAGTTTAAAAAATACATTAAAGAATTGTTTACCTCATATCCGTTATTTTCAAATTTCAGGAGACGATATTGTTGACAATGTTCAACAATATCATCAAATTTTAGATAGAAACCTTTGGAATGACATTATGAAAAGAGCTGTGAATCCAAATCGACAAATATCATCAATAGTTCTTCCACCTCGAGTAATTTTAACTCCAAAATTACCGACACGTATAGCAGAGATGTTGGAACCATTTTCAACAGTTATCACAGAAGAACATGCAGCAGAAATTGCGACATGGGTTGATAAGAAATATGAAACATATTCAATAGCAAATAATCCGTATGAGTTTAAATTACTTTGTCGCGGAACCAGAGATGGTTTTACTAGAGAATCATTTTGGGAAAAATGTGATAAGCAAGCAAATATTATTTTGCTAATGAAAGTTAAAAACTCCGATGAAATTCTTGGTGGTTATAATCCAAAAAAATGGGATCAATCAATTGGTAGTTGGGTAAATTGCAATGATAGCTTTATTTTTTCATTGAAAAATGGAACTATGAGTTCCTCTATTTTAAGTCGTGTAGAAAACCCACTATATGCAATTCATTGTCATTCGAATTATGGTCCATTTTTTGGTGATCTTGCGATGTACGATAATTTTAATCAAGATAAAGGATGTTATTATAGTCATGAGGTATATGAAAAAGCAATTAGAAATGCAAATACATTTGGTTATTTTTCAGTAACAGAATACGAAATAATCCAAATGCAAAGAAAATAAAAGCAAAGAAAAATAAAGTAGAAATAAGGTTAAATGTAATTAAACTTTAGAAATTAACCTGAGTTTTTTAAGTAATGTTGCATAAACAGTTTATACATACAGTTGAGTGATGATAAGGGTGATCGTAAATGTATTTACTAAGAAATAATCATTCACTTCATAATCAAAAATTAAGTTTACTTTTTTATTTATCAACGTCATATAATTCTATCAAATGAACCTTAATTTTATTGGCGCATCTTAATTTGGAATTGAGAAACTAGTATTTTATGTATAATGTGATGAAAATTACATTAAATTTGCGTAAAATTTAAAGTTGTAATTTATGTAACTCAAATCGGAAATGAAATGGAATGTTTGAAGACTCCGACACAACACATAAAATAATTTATTTTACAATACCAGACCATTCCGCTAGTACACAATCCAACACCTGTTTTATTATAAGAATAGATCTTAATATTTTCTGTCTTGCGTATTAGATTTTATAGGAATTAGTTCGTTAGACCTGGCAGCATATTAGCTTTTTGTGTGAATCTAAGTGTTTAGTATGTCCGGTATTCGGTTTGAGTTCGTTGTTAAATTGGTACTCTTATGTTACAACAGTTATATTAGTTTTTTAAATTTGTTGGTATTTGTAGTGTTTGTAGTATAGTACATTTGTGCTTGTCAACTGTAAATTAAAAGGTATTGTTTATATATTATTGATTCTTTAGTGAATTAGGCTTATTAGTAATAAATATCACATTTACCCACTTTACGCATATATATATATTCTCTAATACTTGAGATAATTTTTTTTTTTTTTGGACGCATTTATTAGTTTATGAGCTTCTTTATGCAAAGTTTTTTTTTCGTTTTCTAATAGCGTTAAAACGATAAATTGTGTAAAAATTATGTAAGTTGATTGGTAATACATCCTGGATCATAATCTTTAGAGGAATAAAAACTAGTCCATATAATTTTTAATTGAATAATTAGTTGTATTCACCATGCTTTTTTTTTTCGTCTTTAATAAAAAATGATTTATTAGAAATTTAGAAACAAATGAATAAACAAATAGAGAAGTAAACGAACAAAAAACTAATAAAAACAAAATAAAATAAGGGAAATAAAATAGTTTAACATTAGTACTAGATTTCAAAAGGTTTTTTTTTCTTTGAATTTGAAATATTCATATTCATCTACTGAAAAATAGCCATTTTGAACATTTCGTAAATGTTTATCGTAAACACTTAGATGGACGGTGTTATAACATCAATGATTTTGATTAAAATTATTATACATGAAAAGATCTTGGCTACAACCACAACCAAAACATGGGCCATAATTATAATTAGAATAAATTGCAAATTCTCGACAATTTCCAACAGCATTTGTATCCTTAATAATATGACTTAAAATAGAACTTCGAATATTACCATTTTTTAATGAAAAAATAAAGCTATTATCACAATATTGATGACTTAAAGCTTTATCCCATCCAATAGGATTATAACCACCAAGAATTTCACCAGTTCCATTAACTTTCATAACCACGATAAGATTTTCTTTCTTATTACATAAATTCCAAAATGCAGTTGAAGTAAATCCATTTCTACTTCCACGAAGAAGTAATTTAAATTCGTATGGATTATATTTTAATGAATGAATAAATTTTTTATCAATCCATGAAGCAATTTCATTAGCATTTTCTTCGCTAATAATCTTTGAAAAATTTGATGGTTTAAATGGTAATATAACACGAGGTGGAAGAATTGTCGAAGATATTGGTCGATTTGGTGATAAAAATCTTTTCATAAGATCATTCCAAAGATTTTTATCTAAAATTTCTTTATAAGGTTCCATATTATCCATAATTTCATCACCAGACATTTGAAAATAACGGATGAAGGTAAACAACCTTGTAAAGTAACTTTCATAGTTGAAAAATTCTTATTAGTCCAATATTTAGGATCGGATGATAAGTCAGGATTTTGAGCGATTCCCCATTTGATAACATAATTCCAAATATTCACTTCATTCATTTGTAAATCATTACGTCTAATGAGTGAAATCAGTGCATTTTCATTAAGAGAATTAAATTCTTCAGAATCAAAAATTATTTCCGGATGTTTCACTAAAATATCATTACACCATTTTTGTAATTTTTGAAGTTCATTATTTTGAAAACTTGCTTGATAAATACGAACAAAATTTAAACTAAGCCAATCTTCATTTTCATTCATCAAATAAGTTTCAAGTTGTTTAATTAATTCTTCAAGGAGTAGTTCGCGAGCAACAATCATGAGATCAAAAATGAAAGAGGCCTCTAGTTTTTCCAATGATATCACCCCTCCATAAATGTATCTTTATTAAATTATGATATTAATAATTTAATAATGTCAAAAATATTAGTGATTTAAAAATGTCAAAATATTAGTGATTTAAAAATGGCAAAAAAATATTAGTGATTTAAAAATGTCGTTTAATCCAGAATAAAAATAAATCAAACTTACTTGATAACAATTTCAAATTGTCGATTTGAAATGTATTTCAAATGAAGAGTTTTAATATTATTTTGATCCTTTCTAGCGTTTACTAATTTATTGCGAAAATACAATGATCTAGATTTTAAAATATTTGAATGTGCTTGAAATATCATTGTATTTGGAATTTCACCAAGAACAATGTTTACATTAAAATCTTCACGATCATTGAGAAGTTCGAGGTAATCATTTGAAAGTTTTTCAAAGAACTTTATTGACATAATGAATTGAAATTAATAAATGAGAAAATTTTGGATTTTTTATTGCAACTCGAATTTAATACAAATTCTCAAAAGGACCCAAAAAGGAAACAATCAAGAGCTACATACAGGTATGTACGTACGTACGTACGTACTAGGGTGGTAACTTAACTAGTAAATTAAAACTATATCAGCAATAGTAGTAATTTTTATTATGATTAGATTTTTATCAGCGAAAATTAAATGATTAATTCAAATATCGATATCATTTTACTTTAATTAATTATAAAGATGACTCATCTGATTACGTATTGGCTTCCTTTTCTAATTTTTTTGAGTGAAACTCTAATGTTTAAAAGTTCTGCTCGATTTTTTTTTTGTAAAAGTTTCGAATTATACGTTATTTTTAATAGTTGAAATACTACCCTACGTAGTCCGTAACTTAGGTACCGTATATCAAATTTCGGCTTAAATTAAGTTTAATTCGGGTCATGACTCGAAATAGCTATTACGGTATGAGTGTATCTCGGGAATGTTCTAAATTACACCGATATGTTACACTGTGAAACTATAAAATGTACATAAATAAATACATAGCACGTATATAACCTGTTGATAACTTCTAATTTGATACAGGAGAATTATCGTCATGCCAAACTGTTTTGAAAGATTTCGGTATATAAAAAAAGATAAGAAAACAGAAGACAATTGTAACTCAGACAATTGCCATGTCGAAAATTCAAATTCCTCTTCCGTTACCGGAAACGTTCCAGAATTGCTAATAGGTAATGCAAAACTATTAGAAGAACGTCTCAAACGTTACGAAGATGAAAATGAACAAATTAGTAGTACAACAACATTAATAGATAGAGTTACATATTTACGAAAAAACAGAGAAAATGATGTTTCAAAGGCAATTGCTAATGTTGAAGATTCGATGAACGTTGATCTCTGTTTCGTTTTAGATTGTACATCTTCTATGCTTGGTCATATCCAAGCAGCGAAAGATCATATATTAAAAGTGGCTAATTACGTTAACAGTAATAATTCAAATATCAAATTTTGGGTTGGCTTCTGTGGATATCGAGATCATAATGATCAAGATCGTTTACAAATTTTTGATTTTACTAACTCTATCAAGAAATTTGAAACATATATAACTAATAAAGTGGAGGCTAAAGGTGGTGAAGATTTACCAGAAGATGTTCTAGGTGGCCTTAGCGCAGCAATAACAATGATGACCTGGAGCAACGCCACTCGTATACTTATTCATATCGGTGATGCACCACCACATGGTCGTTGTTTTACTGAAGGAGTAAACTTACCAAACAAATATGATAGATACCCAAATGGAGATCCATATGGTCTGACTGCTAAAAGTGTACTAAAAGAAATGCAATCAAAAAATATTTTATACCATTTTGGAATGATTAATAATACTACTGATGTTATGATTAACATATTTCGTGAAATAATTGGAGAATTTACTGTATTTGATCTCAAGACTACAGGAAGTAATCCATCGATATTAGTTGATAAATTCTGCAAGGCTACTTCATCCGCCATTTTTTCATCAGTTACATTAACCACTACTTTAAGAAACTCGAAAAGTATACACAATTTACAACTTAAAAAACTTGAAATCAATCCACTCGAACCTGATTGGACTACTCTTCCAGAGAAGATAGGAGAAATTCTATGTTATGTTCCACCTGAAACTCTGAATGAAGTTAAAGATGAATTTTATTTTATTAATTCAAACTTTACAGTTCAAAACATATCATTTAAGCTTGCACCACAACCATTCTCTGTTGGTGCTGAACGATATGCATTTTTTGCACTTGATGCTAAACTTGGACAAGATAAAAAATTAGTGATAAAAAAATATCACGATATTAAAGCAAGTTCAATGGAACAGTATTTAGAATCAGTGGAAATCTTTAGTATTGCATATTTTCTTTCAAACAAATTCAATATAGCAGCCAAACGAGTTGGTGTTAATAAGAAGGTTACATTTATTGATGTAAAAGTATTATGTGATAAGACAGATTTCAATACTTATTACACAGTAGAAAAATATATCAATGATATAGAGTTTAAAAGATTTAATGTGAATAGTGGTATAATTACAGAATTTCATTCTATTCTTGAAGCATTTGCTCATTTCACCTATCAATACACTAAAGGGTATTTAGTGGTTTATGATTTACAAGGAGGTAATCTTCATGATGAGTTTTTATTAACAGATCCAGCCATACATTGCATTGATTTATTAAGATTTGGAACAACGAATCTTGGAAAGAATGGAATTCAGAAATGTTTTTTGGCAAATCATAAATGTAATAATATTTGTAAAAAGTTAAAGTTAAATGAGGTTAATTCGGAAAGAAAAAAAGATGGAAATCTTTTTAGGAAAATCTTAAATGCATTAATCTGTGCAAGCAAATAATATTATAGCTTGTTATAACGAGTTTATATTTTTCTGATATAAATTATGTACAATTTATACTATGCGTTACAATGCTTAGTATAGATTAAATTTTTATACATAGTTTATTAAATATTTTATTAGTCTGGCCATTTGAAAATATTACTGTATTGAATGTCTAAAATCTTGAGATACGCATTCAAAGTCGCATCATTATCATTATATTCAAATATAATATACTGGTGTACATTAACTTTTATGATTCTATTCGAATTTCAGTTGTATGCGGTAAATTAAGGATGTATCGAAAAAATGGAGCGTTTTAATCTACTATTTGACAGAACTTTATTTATATATCAATGAAATATATGAGGCTATCACTAGTCGGTGTTAATTCTAAATGTTACATATAACAAACAAACAAAAAATTTACTTCTAGCTACAGTTCTTTTATAGATCGTATGACACATTACGAGAAACGATTTATCAGTGACCTTAGTTTTCACTTATGTATAATACTGTATAATTGAAAATGAATTAATTTGTTATCAAAGGTCATTCATTGTCATCTCAACCGCTGAACCTATAAACTCAAGATCTTTGCATTGTTTGTGACTACAGTTATGAGTCTATTTATAAGCCTAATAATACCATGCTCGTGATTAGCTCGCGTACGTAATCGAACACAACTATAATAATATTTTTGATAACGAAACTAATAAAAATTGAGAAGTAATCAAAGTTTGCACAAACGTTATTTTTTATGCAATTAGTTAATAAACGTGACGATACTCATTTACAATAATCAATCAAAATAAGAATTGCGATTTTTACTTAATTGGATTCATTAATATTTATCAAATGTCATTATCACTATGCTTAATTCGTTAGTTAATATTCTGTTATTGCATGATAAGGTCAATTATGCGATCTCTTTGAATACTCAATTAATTATCAATTTTGCCAAGCCCACAATGTTTGTTTCTTTTACTATGGCTGTACTTCTCTATAATCACCTAGTTTGTTCTACGTATGCAAAAAATATGTGATTATAAGAATTCTATTATGATATGCTTATATAGAATAAATTTATTAAATACGACTGTAACAAAAAGATATTAATTACGTAATAAACTTTATTAAACTACGATGTTTATTTAAATACTCTTTACGATGATAAACTCCTTAAAATATTTTCTCCTAAGCAAAATTTATTCACCGTCACTTTTTGTCTCATTGATTAAGTTGTTTGAGAACGCCCTAAAATATTTCTCGAATCATTAGATTAGAGTAATTATTAATAGAGTGTCGTACCAAACTTTAATAAAGAAAACTTTTTGTTAGTGTTACACTTGAACTTTAAATTTGATTGACTAACTAAATTTTTAATACAGTATGAGCTTATCGTCTGTTGTTTGCATCCACAGGGATTATCATAGAAACTTTGAATAATCACAATTTTTAACCATATTGATGGTATGATTGCCTTTTTTCGTCCTAGAAAGCTTCAGATCCAAATGGATAAAGAAAGGCGGTGAACAAAAAGATAAACATCTCATACACAATTCATCAGTTCAGTTTTATAAATCATCCTTAACTTATTATATTACTACTTTTTCCTGCACTGAAATTCACTTGCAAATAATATGTTACACCCTTAGCCTGCGATTCTGAAAATGTGTACCATGTGCGCTCTGGCCTTTTACATTTTCACAATTCATAGATAATTCCGAAAACTTATTACCTACTGAATGTTACACATGCAACATATATCATTACACGTTGACTTACTCTTAATGTCGTCTAATCTCTCAACAATATCACTTCGCTAATAAGATTGTCAATTTTGATATCGGAATTGGAACATTCGAAAAAATTAAATTATTTCATTTAATTTTTAAAGGAAATTCCAGTCGAATCAAATATTAAAGTAATAAAGATTAGTAATACTCATCATGCTTTTTGATAAACTTTTGAAAAGTATGATTTAATGTGAGAATACATGAATCAAGAGTATAAGTAATATAGATTCAATTCTAAATTTTTAAACCCAATTTCATTAAAGAAATTTGCGTCAAAAAATAAAAAGAATTAGAGTATTCACCTAACCCTCTTGTTAGTTAAATATTCGAAAACTTGTTAACATCATAATAATTTGAAATGACAATTATTCCCCCATTAACTATACCATCCATTTTTCAACCTCTTATCCAAGCGTGGGTAGCTTGGTTTACCGTCACATTTTTTTCGTTACCAATTGCCACTTTTTTTATGTGGTGGGATTTTCCAAGATGTATATATGGTCTTTTATTCCAGAAAAAGCCAAGGGTTATATTAATTACTGGTGCTGAGTATGTTCATTTTTTTTCAATTATTTATGGTCTTTGATTTTATATTTCCAAATTACATTATTACTTGATGTAGCACCCGTATTGGTGAAATGTTTGCTCTTGAATACGCTCAATCAGGCAACACAATAGGACTTCTATCAAGTGATAAATGTATGTTTATAGATCGTTTTTTTAATGAGTAAGTCAATGGTTGAGTGAATGAGTAAGTAACGATGAGTGAATATATGAAAGAGTAAATCTCATAATTTATATATTTCTTGCTTTATATTTTACAGACAAATTGAATCGTCTAGCTGATGAATGCAACAAAAGGGGCGCTGAAACTTTTAAATTATATGTCGATATTTCAAATTTAGAATTGTTAAGAGATACAGTTGAAGAGTTCCTTAGTGAACGTCCGATAGACTTATTAATTGCTAATACCTGTAAGTGTTAATCTGTTTAAAAGTTCTTTGTTACTTATCTAAACTTTGTGCACTTTTTAGCTCAAAATGACATAATTAAAGATGTTGAAACTCGATGGGAAGATATGTTTGAACAAGTAATTTTAACAAATATTAATGGAATTATTGGTGTTATTATGTCCACGTATAAGAGAATGCAAGATTTAGGAAAAGGACAAATTGCAAGTAAGTTCCCTACGCTTTACATTGGTGTCATATTTGTCAAAATTACCGAAAATTAAATTTAATCTTTTTATTTTGAAAAAAAGTTATTAATCCCACAGCTAGTAATATTTCAATTCCTCAATTGATTTATCACAATATGACAAAGTCGGCACTTCTTTCCTTTTCTCGTGATTTTCGATACTTGGCCAAAAAACACAATGTTAATGTATCTATTATTTCACCGGGATTAATCGACACCCAAATGACTGCTAAAACGTTATCCCCTATTTCTAGTTTTAAATTATTTTTTGCATCAGCGCATAGCCTTGCTTTTATTTCAAGAATACAACTTCAACAAGGCAATGTTGAAATTGTCTGGCCCTTTTTGGAAACCTTACCTTTTTATGCATATAATATTCTTCCGCCAAGAATTATTAATACTGTTACTTATTTTATTGGTTTAATTGGTGATTTCTTTACTGGAACCAACAGCGTTGCTTGGGTTTAAATGAATGTTAGTTAATATGAACTATAAAATTCTAAAAAATATTATTTACATACAAAAATTTTTGAACTATTTGTTTGTATTAGCTATAAAATACAATAAACCTTTACTTTTGAAGTGACTTGACAATATTATTAAGTCACATACTATGTTCGAAACTTATTTTCAATGATTTAAAATGACGCTTTTATATTAATGTTCTGCGTACACTATAACTATAACTATAACCATAACCAATTGATTAATAATTATTTTATTAGAGAGGTTATCTATACTGCTCACTTATCATCAATTTTATAAATTTTACAACTTATACCCACACCGTTACCTTCACATATGCTATGCGATTATGCGGGTAGATTATTCAATCGTAGATCTCATTGACCATTTCATATAGCAATCCACTTCGTTTCTGGTACATATATAAGATAAAAATTATGCCATAAATCATATACGTATAAAAGGAACTATTGTCTTTATGCAGAATTATATATTTAACAACTGTCTACCTTGAGTTATGTATTGTGCAATTTTGCATAATGCTGTAATACCAGAAGTTCTATTTGAATGATCTTATTTTAAATGCAATAGAAAATCTTATGCATGTGTGATACAGCAATACAATTACTCAAATTACATATCGATACGTACGTATCGGTATATATTTGTTTAACAATTTTAACCGGATTTTTTGTAGTATTAAGTTATTTCTTTAAAAACAAAATGAAAACTGTCAATAATAAACTATTTAGCCGTAAAAAATCTTCCAAGAAAGAAGATTCTAATGCAATAAATGAACTTGGTTATAATCACCAGCATGGAATAGGAGTTGAAAAGGATGAACATAAAGCATTTACTTATTATCAAAAATCTGCAGAGATGGGAAATGCTAGTGCAATATATAACCTTGGATATTGCTATAACCATGGAATTGGGGTTGAAAAGGATGAACAACAAGCATTTATTCATTATCAAAAATCTGCTGAGATGGGTGATGCTGGTGCAATACATGAAGTCGGATATTGTTATCAGCATGGAATAGGGGTTGAAAAGGATGGACACAAAGCATTCATTCATTATCAAAAATCTGCTGAGATGGATAATTCTGATGCAATACGTGAAGTTGGATATTGCTATAACCATGGAATTGGGGTTGAAAAGGATGAACGACAAGCATTTATTCATTATCAAAAATCTGCTGAGATTGGTAATGCTAGTGCAATTTCTAACCTTGGATATTGTTATCAATATGGAATTGGGATTGAAAAGGATGAACATAAAGCATTTATTCATTATCAAAAATCTGCTGAGATTGGTAATGCTAGTGCAATTTCTAACCTTGGATATTGTTATCAATATGGAATAGGGGTTGAAAAGGATGAACATAAATCATTTATTCATTATCAAAAATCTGCTGAAATGGGAAATGTTACCGCAATAGGTAAAATTGGATATTGTTATAGAAATGGGATCGGAATATCATGAGACTTACAAAAGGCTAATTATTGGTATCAAATGTAAATAACTTAATTATTCATTTTTACTTACTCAGATAATTATAAATTTTATAACATATATATTCTCTGATAATAATTAGTGAAAAAAATAAAATATCAGGTAATTTGTAAAAATAATACCCAATGACCTTGATGTAGTAGTTGGGATAATAAAGTATTCGATTAATTTTTTGAATTAGTATTAGTTTTACTAACTGATATTTTGTAGCCACAAATGAATGGATACATGAAAATTTTAACATTGATGAAGATATAAAAAAATTATTAGTTGATGAGAAATATCCATTGTTATGGATTTCTTATAAAGAATTTGAAAAGATTAAAAAGATAGGGCAAGGTGGATTTGCAACAGTATATTATGCCGGTTGGCGAAAAAAAAACACAATATAGCACTAAACTATATGATGTTGCACTTAAATTACTTCAAGGATCAAGCAATTGCAATGAAGGATTCATTAAGGAGGTAATCTTTATTTTCTTACTATAGTTTAATAAGTAAGATTTTAATAATCTACCTTTTTTAATATTAAAGTTAAAGGCATATTGTAATATTCGCTCTAAAAATCCGTCATTTCTACAATGTTACGGAATATCAAAAGATGATAGCTCTGGAGATTATATTATTGTTTTAGAATATGCAGTAATGGGTTCTTTACGTCAAAATCTCCACTCAATATCAAAAATTAAATGGGAAGATAAATTAACTTTATTGCATTGTATTGCTTCTGACCTTCAAATAATTCATTCTAATGAACTTATTCATCGAGATTTACATAGCGGTAATATTTTACAAGATAATTTACATAGTGCATATATTGCAGACCTGGGATTTTCAACATCATTAAAAGCAGAAAAATGTGGAATTTATGGAATTTTACCATATATTGCGCCGGAAGCTTTAAATGAAGGACAATATACAACGGCATCAGATATTTATTCATTTGGAATAATTATGTGGGAAATTTTATATGGAAAACCTGTATTCTATAATCAAGAATTTGGATCTCAACTTCAAATGCAAATATGTCATAATAATTTAAGACCAACTATTATTAAGGGCTCTCCATAATGCTATATAAATTTAATGATGAAATGCTGGGAAAAAGAACCCAAAAACCGTCCATCAGCAATAGAAATCTGCGATATTGTTACCAAGTGGCAAAATGATGAGGATATTTTATTAGAATTAAATAAATCTAATAATATATTAAATATTGAAAGCATAAATACTCAAGCATATTCGGAAATTGTTTATAAAAGCAAATTTATTAATTATACTACGTCATTTTACCAAGGTAATTAAATACTTATTTTTTATAGATGTAATTTTTTTTAAAAACCATTAATTAGAATTATTTAATTTAGATAGTGAAATAAGAGAATTGAATATTGATGAATAATTTTTATGATGCTTTTTATACTAGATTGGTTAATTAAAATTTTTTAATTTCGGGAAATTACTGTATTACATATAGAAATATTTGTATTTAAGGATATTGTTGACGATTACAGGAATAGCTTACAATAGAGTTCATAAATATGGTATTATGACTTTGCAGTTTAATGGTATAATTAGAGACAGTAATATAAATTTGTAATTTCCATTTAAAATATTTGTAAACTATTCGGTTTTGCAATAAAAACATTAAACGGTCATAATCAGATATAGCAATGTGATAATAATATTATCAGTTATCTTTTTATTTAATAAGTAGCGCAACACAGTCACGCGAAACTAGGAACGTGGGAATGTGTACTAAATTGGTATATTATAGTGTTAGATTTTATAAAGAAATTATGATAATCACATTATTATTATGCAAAATTAATCTGAAGCATATTTTTAGAGAATCTAATTACTATGATGTACTAAACAATGCACTATTTCCAGATGCAATTAGGAGCAACATATAATAAATGAATACGTATTAGAAAAACACTGTAGGTAAAAAAAAACTTTAAGATAGCAAAAAAAGTAAATAAAAAAATACTCAAATATTTCTCTAGCATTGTAATTGCCTGGATACATTAGTTAGCAGTGTTAAAAATATAGTAAGGTGCAAATGTTCAGTATCCGATTTACACCATTAATCAACATATGTGATTTGGAAATACATTAATAAATCTTAGAATTCAAAAATTTTTTTATCTAAAAAAATACTTTTAATATACACATCTTATTTAATGAAAAATAATTATTTTATAAAATTTAATAATTTAATTGATAAGTCTTTTTTTGTGTATTATACAGTTGATTTTTTATAATGAACTTTAGATATAAAAATGACAAAATTTTATAACATTAATAAAGCAAACCAATATAATATCTGGTCTTATTTATTCAAATTAAATTAAACTGAAATCAGCTAAAACAAAATGAAAAGTTTACATTGGTATGATTAAATTTTAAAATAGAAAGTTTATAAGATATACATAATTAATAAATTAATAATAACTATTATTCAATTACAATTAAAATCACTGTAATTATAAACAAACCTAAACCAACTAAGCAATAAAAAAAAAATTTTTTTTAAAAAAATATTACTAAAGAGATTCTTGAAAATTATGCAAACCAGACTACTTGCAACTTATTGTCAATTACTTCTTGAATTATCTCTATAACTAACTAACATTAACTTAATTTTGTATAGAACAAAATTAACAAAGCTTTACTAAAGCTATAACTAAATATATTCTTTTTAAAAACATTAAAACTATTTCTGAAATTAATAACAATTTTTCTTTTAAACTATCTTCTTTATTTTACTAATAAACCAAATTTAATATCTAAAAAATTACTTTAACTCTTCTAACTTCTATACATTATTTCAAAAATAACTTTCTGACTATTCTAATAATTTTTTTAATAACAATATCTTTCTCTTTTAATCAAATTAAAAATAAGTTTATATAAGTGAAAACTGCTCTTAACTACTATTAATAACAAATAATTTATAAAGAATCAAATAAAAAATAGAAAAATATAGTTAACTCTATAAACTTTTCTAAACTTTTCTATAAAAAATCTTTGTAAAATAATTTAGTATATATATTTTTTTAATTTAAAGTGACAACTTGCCTGCATGTTGTTTATTAAGTAATATATAATTACATATAATATATATAGTATATCAACGAAAGTACAACTAGTTACACATATAACTTTATTCATTATTTGATTAAGAGTTTTGCTCACAGATTATCCACCTGTAAGTTTTTTATTTAAACTTTTTGATTTTAATACTATTTATATATATATCTATAATACTTATATTACTGTTGTAGTGACATTTGGTTAGGGCTATTTTAGTTACTATTTATATCAAAATACCATCTCATTGGATGTTACTAAGTATTCATATTTCTTTAATACCAAGATTACCTCTTAAATTTATCCAATTTAGTATATTCTATCTGTACTAAATCAGTTTTGGTCCCAGAGGTGTTTGAATTGCATTAAGTCTATTTCTTCCTATAGTTTCC